GGAAAAAAAATTTTACCTTACTCGCCACCATCGTCGTCGCCGGAGTAGGTCGGAATTTTTTTCGGAATTTTTCGAAGTCCGGAACCGGGAGAAAAAATATATAAAGTGAATAATGAATGTATTTTTTTTTTTATTAGAAAGGGCAAAAACGACTTTTAAGGGGCGGTAATAATTGGAAAAGGGGACGGCAAAAATCAACACCCTTACAAATTTCCTACTAATGTTGACGGTCAAATTCAATTAAGGCTGCCAGCCTGCCTGCGTTGGGCCTTGGCCGACTTGCTGACGCGTTCTGGGTAAAAATTGGTCTCATTGAAGTTGATTTAGAATTATTATTGGAAAGATTAAATAAAAAAAAAAAATTCTGGATAGTGCACTATTACATTTAATAAAACATTAACATTTCTATCACATTATATCTTCCCATTAAACATTTCTTCAATTAAACACGCACTTATATTTTTATCCATTCATTTAAATACATATATATTAGACTCATTATTCACTCACTTAATAAAATTTTAATATTCTATTTTTAATAAAAATATAAAAAATAATATGTTTAAATTATAATAATAGATTTTAAATGCATGAAAATAAAATAACACTGCAAGACCAAAATAACTTAAAGTAAGATTACACAAAAAAAAATAGTACAATTAAAAAAAATAAATTAAAGTAAGATTTGTGAATTTTGGAAGAATGAAATTTCATCTGAATTGTTAGGATTAGAACTCAATAAATTATTCATATATATTGAGAAGTGTGACATAAATAAAATTTGAATTTTTAATATTGGGTAGCGTTATATAATAAAAAAATGAATTAACATAAAAAGTAATAATAATATGATTAAACAATTAACTTAAAAAAAAAAAAAAATCTGAACGCATCCAGCCCGTTGAACATGTAAGTTTGGCCCACCATGTAATGGATGCTCATCCATTTTTACACCAACTTGTCATTTAAACGGGGCAAATAAATGCCCCGGTGCAGATGCTCTTAGCCTCGGGTGAATTTACGGATCAAAATAAGTAGTTTAAATCATAAATAAAATTACATATAAGGTAGTTTCATTTTATAAGACCATCTCCAACCGAAAAACTCATTCTCAAACTCATTTTGCAGTAACTGTCACATCAAACACTAATTCATTTCCAACCGAAAAACTCATTCTCAAACTCAAAAGAATATTCTCAAAATATTCTCTTTCACATCAACTTTACAACTTTTCAATACTACCTACATATTTAACAATTTTACAAATTAAACCCCTAATTATTTTATATTTGATTGAAAAAATAATCAATTAATTTATAAATTAATAATAAGTAATAGAATTATTGAATACATTTTTTTTTTCAGTAAGTGAGAAATTACATTATTCTTTATTTTAAATTTGAATAATA